CGATGACTTGTATGTGAAGGGCGAGGCGCAACGTATTTTCTGTACAAATCGAGAATATTTATGTTTTCTTTAGTTTTAGAAACAACAAATGTTCTCGAAATTTTTGTTTTGGTACTGGGAATTGTTATCACTAGTGTCGATCCCACGTCTTCAATTGGGGGTGTTTCTAAATTTACCAATTCGTCTCCTCGGCATGCATCAGCTACACAAAAATCAATCAACAAAATTTTACCTTCATTAGTAAACATTCATTGTCATCTGCTTCTGACAAAAACGTTTCAATCTGATTGTTCGTAAAAACTTCAGACTTCTTCGCCACATATCCGTTCGATATTTTGCTCAACAAGGCCCGTAGTATTCAATGTGTACTTGAATGCAGGATCTTATCATCGAATATTGGGCCCACAACGTTGATGATTTGTATTCTTTGGATTTTTCATCAAAATACGCGAGCAGTACGTTTTCTGAGTAGGTTTTCGCTTTCTTTTCTCTGCATCTTTCTCTGAAGCGGTTGTACGATTTATCGTACAAATCACGCGATTTCTGAGCCAACAAGTTCAATGTTGCCGTGTTTGCAGCGTCCACTATGGATTGAGGTTCCTCCGCTGACTCTTCCATATCAGATCACAACAACACTTGCTTGAACCGAAACTTGAACTAATTTCGTGAAACAATCACTTTTTTGATAGTAAACAAATTTTGGTTGTCAAGGTATGCATTGACAATTTCACAAGCTGCCCAATTTTATGACTGTTAAGCTCCTATTCCGTACAATTTTTAGCTTAATAAAATCTATCGTTTTAGTCTTTGGTCGTGGAAAAAATAGTATATATACCACGGAAACGAAATGCATTTCGCTCTCAGTGCTTTGTCGCCCTCTGGCGTCAAATTTGCACTTAATAATAATGATAATAATTTGTTTTCGTAATTTTGCACTTAAATTGCTTATACTTACACGTCATTAAAATGTATACGTAAAGTGTTATATTAATTACAATTTTACACAGAATTTTTATAACAAAGATCTTAGTCCGACATCACAATTTTACATGTTAAAAATTCTTCATAATTGTAGAAAGCCTTTTTAATTAAAAAAGAGAGATAATTAGGTCCAATTTGACACTTTTTTAAACGATGATAGGGTGTGATTAGTTGTGATTTGTTTCGTATATCATGACTGTGAAAACTGTTATTGGAATCGTATTTACTTATATTTTCTTTTAAAGTAGTAGTAGGTAACTCAATATATGTATAAACACAAGGACATCTTAAGATGCCTAATGAAGTGAACGATTCTTTACACTCATCTTGATAACGAAGACCTGATAATAATCTTACCGCTTTTCGTTGTAATGAAAATATTCTGCCAAATTCCGCCGCTGATTCCCACAAAACGATGCCATAAGAAATTAGAGAGTGGCAGATCCAAAAGTAAGCAGCCTTCAGTGTCAAGCCCGACACAGTCCCACTCAAATTCCGCATAAATAAATATTTTTTGCAAGATTACCTGCCAAATAGTCTACAATCTGCATGTCTGTCTCATTCAAGGGATTTGTCAATATAAACACCCAAAAATTTTACACTGGACTTTAAAGTGCGATTTCAGAATTTTTTAGGGTAAAAATCAGATCGTTTGTTTTCGATTCATTTAAAACCAAGTCGTTTTTAGAGAAAAAATTGGTAAGTTTATTTTTTGTTTCTGCTATGCTAGTTAATAACTCGTTAAGTGTTGGACTTCTTTGAGAGACTGTTGTGTCATCAGCATAAAGAGTATACTTGGAAAGAGTATCTTGCGCTGGTAGATCGTTTATATATATATATAAATAATAACGGTCCTAATATTGATCCTTGCGGTACTCCAGTGTTAATTTTTCTTTTTGTTGATAACACCTTGTTCACCCTGGTAGACTGATAGCTGTTTGATAAATACGAATCAATGAGCTCAATGCTGCTCGGTGCAAAACTGTACAATTTTAATTTATCGATCAGTAAACTATGCGACATGCAGTCGAATGCCTTACTTAAATCGCAAAACATATATTCGTTTTTGTGGAAAGGAAAGTTGTTAATATTTCAGTTATTAAGTTTAGAATTGCACCAGTTGTATTGCGATTTTTGCGGAATCCATGCTGGCTGCTACTGAAAAGATTATTTTTTTCAAAGTGAATTTCAATTTGAAAAGCCATACATCTTTCAAAAATTTTTGATATTACTGGTAGAAGTGATATGGGTCTATAATTCGATATTTTCCCAAACTGTCCCCCTTTATGAATGGGAATCACCAAACCCTCTTTCAGTTTATTAGGAAATTTGCATTCTTCAAAGCATGAATTAATAAGTGTTGTTAAGGGAACAGTAATTAGATGCTTGATAGTTTTTTTTTTAGTAACTCGAATATCATAAATGTCCGTGCTAGTGGTATTTTTTAAAGAAGTTAGATGGTCTCGTACTTCATTAAAGCCGACTTTAGTGAATCTGAATTAAGGTACAGAAATTGAATTAGTTATGTTTATGAAGTAATCATTGGCTTCTTCAGCTGAAAATGCTACTGATTGAGAGGATTTTTTATTTTTATTTTTACGACCGGAGTTTATGATATTCCACATAGATTTAGCTTTATTATTTGATTTTTCAATGAGTTTATCGTTGATTAGTTTTTTAGCAGTCACTATTTATTCCTTATAAAGCCTTCGATATACTTCTGGCGAAAGCGAGCATTTCTTTCCCTTGATTTATAATATACTATTTTTTTGAATGGGACATTTGGGTGAAAATCTTCACTTCCTTCTAGAGAAAGTTTTGTACCCGGACAAAAAAATGTTTCTGAAATTCCTCTAGCGTTCAATTTTGTTCAAGTCATGGACCGTAATGGTGAAGGTTTTCTATATTTAAAAAGTGTATTTCCTAGACTAAGTGACCCAAAATTAAAGACGGGAATATTCTAATATAAGAAAACTCATGAGAAACTGAAATTTGATATCTAAATTAAATGTACTAAAAAAAAAGCATGGTTGTCATTTGTGTCGGCAAATATGTTAGCAGATTACTGTTGGACGTCAGTAAGAGATTATTCAACGTATTTGACAAAAGAAAAATAAAACGGGCAAAAACAGAATAATAAGTTACATACAATTTTAATAAATGTTTCTCGATTGGTAAATTCAACGTTTCATTTTTGTTTTTATTGTCGTATATAGATTCTACCGTTAAAATGTACTAGAAAAACACAATTTGAAAACATGACAAAGAAAATAGTTTTGATTCGAGGCCAAACAACAATTTTTTGAGGATGAAGGAAAATCTCAACATAAACATGCGTATTTTCGGTGCTCCATATTTTCACTCAAAGGAAATTCGGCTTCGTCGGTAAAAAAGATTTTCTCTAACAGCCGGTCAGTATGTAGAGTCACTTACAATCGTCAACCCCAGCTTCATGTAATTCTTGCACATATATGTTATTCGGTATGTTACTGCTAAATTTTTTCGCAATAGTGCTTGGCAAGTTCCATACAATAATTTCACTTGCTTCGCTAATTGTGTTCTGGTGTATTTTCCATTATCTGTCTACCATTTTCAATATTTTCTGGAATTCTCTTATCGTTTGACTTGCTACTTCCTTCCTCTCTTTGTCGAGACGAGGTTTTTCGGAATTTTGTCACACATCGTTGTAATGCGTTACAAAAATGGGTATAGTTGACGATGTTGTTGGCAAATTCTTCCCGAAATTCATATCAAGTCGCTTGAATCAAGTTTTCTCACAGATAGTTTACCCTCTGTCAACTTTCAGACTACGATTCAGTCATAAACCTTCTGTGTTTCAATCGAAATTTAATTTTTACGCCAGTACGAGAATACACGAATAAAAATTTGAAATGAATTGTTTTTAATGTAAAGAATATTTCTCCAGGAAGCAACAACAGGCAAGAAAACAAGAAAAGTAAGGTTCGAAGAGACGTTTCGTGTCACAGTCGTTAAAGTGATATCGGAATTGATTAATAAATTGAAGTAAAATTTAAATCAATGTTAGAAGGATTACAGTTTTTGCCTCTTTGGATGTGTGTTTCAAACACGTATTACGTTTAGAAAATTATCGACAATTAAAATTGATTTTGTTTAAAAAAAATGGATTAAAATTATTTTGACAGAATTGGTCGTGGGGATGATAAGATAAATTTTAGTTGACGTTTTACGGTTCATACGCTATTCCCAACATACGAGTACAAATTAAAATTGACTGACCAGAATCGATCCAGTTGCTTCAGAGATTATCTGTCTAATAAAAACAGACTGAAACGCGAGACCTACTTTTTTATACTTTAGGGGTCATGAAATGTAGAGAAAACAGGAAAGTAACCATTCGTAGGATGGACCCTATTACAATACTTTCTTAGCCTACTCTCGGGATGTAAAAATATACTTTTGAACTAGTATGTCCCAGGGCGAATTACTCGGTTGGTACGGTAGATATAGTAAGTCCCAAGAGGTGCCCACCTTGGACGAACCACTTTTTGCGTCTACCTTTTTTGGGAGGTCTGTAACTATTACAATGAAAATATGTCCTTCGTACTTATCTTTGAGACGGTTTTCAATCTGTTGGCGTGTTTATGGATTATGAAATGTTTTCATGGTTTCTTTTTTGTGTCTGTTACCTATTTAAATTAAAGGCTCTTCTAGCATAATCTACCGAATTGTTACGAATTCTACCGAAATGTGGCGAGTTAATTTATCGAAATGCAACACCGTTCGGACCATCGTGGTATGTACCTTCAGGCCGGTGATGGGAATCGGCCGCCGCCGCATGCCGACCGGGGGTGGGTGCCGCCCCCGCCCGCAATGGTCCGGATTAATGGCAGAGGTTGGAGCGAGCTCGAGAAGCACACCTGCATGTCTGAATTTTCCGAGTTTGTAGATTTGGGGGTGAAAAGTGGGGGCGGCGCCGGCGCCGTGGCGGCGATTGGGGTGTGGCGGGCGCCGGCTCTCTCTACCATCTCAGTTGGCCGTGCGTCTGCCGAAGCCTGAACAACGGACTGCCATCGGACACCCTCAGCTCGTGTCGATCCGGAGAATCCGGTAAGTCCAGTGCTGCTGTATACCAGTGATAGTGAGTTGCCCCGCTCCCGAAAATTCATTTTCCCGAGTGCTCCGGCTAAATTGCCGTAATTTGGGCCAGCTTGCAAACTTCCGACGAACCCATTTGGTAATTGCTTCGAGGAGGATCGCCGCGGAAAGTCGCAAGTCGGGACTCGGAGTTCTTTTCCGGGAGCTGATCACGTGGAGTGTTCCGGAGGCACCGGTTAATTAGCGCCGGCCCGTTTTCAGCGCGCTAATTAAATTTTGATCATTGAATTATCGCGTGACTTAATTTTTCCGATATGGCACGCTCCATGTCTAATTTAATGAAGGGTTGTCGTACCCGGTGTTCCGACAAAACAAACATTTTGCCGCTTTATCGAGTTATTAACTTTTCCGAATGCGTCGGTGGATCGTGTTTGTAATATAGTCATGAAGATAGCGTCAGCCCGGCAGATGCTTTGGCACGGGTCCTTGTTTGCCGATTGTGATAACGGCGATAGCCAGAACACACACGACACCGTTCACCTGCCACTAAATTACATTTTTCCCTCTGCGATATTGACTTTTTATCGCGGCTTCGATATGACGCGAGCTGAAAAACACCGTCCCGATTTGTCGTCGCACTTGCTTTTCGAAATTTAATTAAAATGTATCTTCAATACGGGCGCGCACGAATACATAATTAAACACCCTGTTTTCAACGGCATGCTGGTACGTAATAAACTCCGGTGTTAAATTCCGATCGAAATTTTTTATTACAATTCAATAATGTGCTAGTTGTTTATTTTTAATTAAGCGAAATCAGAACGAACGGGTGATTGTTTGGCGGGGCGCTCAATTAGAGCTCGCCGGCTAAACGCCTCCAATTTGCAGACACCGGAAGTAATTTCTCCCCGAAAAAACGAGCTGAATTCTCGAAAGCCGCGATGCAAAATAAACATCGGACGCATTAAATTCGGCCGATTTGGAATCCGCGATCAGATTTCCGGCAATTCACTTACGTATTTGGCAACGCTGTTTGCTCCCTTTTTCCGGAGGGGCGCGGCGGAATTAATTCATTTTTGCATTAGCCGCACCGGATGGGTTTTTTCCAGGTTTGAGACGAACACCGTGTAGAATTTTATTCGGGGATCTCCCTTGCGGGATTACTCTTCATAATTGAAAAGTTTGTTATAAATTCATGTATCTGGTGCACGAATGGCGTGCTAATGTACTAATGGATTTAAACAGTTAAAATGTTTGCCTTTGTTGGGGAATATTTTGCCGTTCGCGAAACCTCCGGTTCGACCGATCGCAGAGTTTACCGAATTGTCAATTACATGTTTACGAAGCAAGTCTTGTGTGTAATGGAAATTGCTGTAATTCGAATTTTATAATGTTAATTAAAGTGCAGCCTACCAATCACGTAATGTAAGAGTTTACATTTATTTCCGAAACGGCTCATCGTGAATTAACTCGCGCCGGTACTGGGTAATCGCCACAAAAACCTCGTTTAAATTGCATTAGTTTTAGGCTATTTTTAGAGCACTGGCGTTTAAGCTTTACCTTGCACGAAGCTTTAGTGTCACTTTTTTGTGTGGAAGAGCATTTTTACTGAACGCGTTCAATTTTAAGACTTCAGTTATTAACAAGATCTACATCAGCACTAAAAAAAGATGCAATCGCCTCGCTTATTTTGTAAATAAGGTTACTATTTTAACTTAGTGCGTTTATCGAGCTGTGATGTTTTTACACTATTTACCTATTATACATATTTCAGTCGTGAACAAACTAAATGTAATATTTTATTGTTGGTTGCCATTGTAACTTGCTGTTGAATAAGAACTATGAAACAACAGATTAATATAATTTTAACAATACACCGTCTAAAGGTTCACTTTATTCTTGCTATTACTACTAATTTACTAATTTTATAAGGTGAATAGGGAAAGTTATTATTATTATTATTAAAGAAACAGTATATAGAGAGGAGATAACCATGGACTCACGTGACAATTTTAAGTGAATGCAATTTTAGATTAGATTGCAAACGTTTGTAATATGATGTCGATGTTAAGATAATCTTTTCATCTACGCAATTTTACAGGGAACCAATACACGATATTTATACGAACAGATTATACGCAACATTTTTCTTGTTGGTAGTGTACAAAAAAGCGTATGCTAGAACGAAGATAAATATATTTTGTAAAAATTCCAAGTAAACGCAATCATGAATTCCTTTCGGGACAGTAAACATTCTTGTGGGTTTTTGTTGTTGAAACACTTGTTTTATAAAATAAGCTAAATCTTTAAAATACTAAATTACCAATAGTTAAAACATCCTAAAACAACAACCACTATCCAAAACAAACTAATCGAGTAATCACATCCCACGTTTGTACCCTCATTCATTCAAAAATTTCTGTTGTCAGCTTCGTTTCAACATTTATCTGTTTGTGTGAACAATTTTGAATTAAAATTGTTGTTAATTGATAACTGTATTTTTAACACAGAATATGTGCTTCCTAGGTCAGAGGATTTGTTTTGTTCCCAATTTGCTTCGAAAATAACTTCGTATAATTTTTTGGACTTCTAACATGCACCAAGGCCATAACTGCTTGCTACAACAGGTGACCACTGCTTACTTCAGTATCGCGGTTCAAATACAAAAAAATTATTATCGTATTTTTTTCTTAATGGTAAACTAGCAATACTTATAAAATTTTACCTGTTATACAGTCGAATTTAGAAATTTGAATTTCGTCTCTGAAGTGAAGTAAAAGTCTCTGACATTAGTATCGTGTCAAAGAAGCTTTAAATAAAAAAAAACTTAGTTTAACCTTAAAATACATCTTAAGTTATGATTCTGCAGACGTAGAGAGCATGCAATATTTATGCTGTTTTTGATTCCTGAAGCTTTTCATGCGTTTGATTCGATATTACAAAAACATATAACAAAACAAGTGAAATCTCGAGAATTGTAAACGATTTCCATGATTGTGTGAAAGGAGAAAGAGTAGAGAAGCAAATTTAAAACACTTATGAGATGGTATAAAAAGTTCAGAAAAGTTCGAAGTTCACTTCAGATTATAGAAACTGGTTAATGCTGAACACAGATTTTACAGAAAACGAGTAGTAAATATGTTATATGTGTCCAAATTTAAACAAAAACTCAGTAGTGATTACAATGTGAACACAAGTCAAATACCGATTAATACGGATAAAATTCAGAAAAAAAGTATATACATAAAACATGTTGTATACAAACTGGTGTTATCTGTTAAACAAACAGAGCGTAAAAATAGTAAATTGATTTTGAATGTACTATTTCATTTTTCACGTTTTTTACGCCGATTTCGAATCATTGGCTTTTTAATTTTTCGTACATTCCGTGTTACTTTTTTTATTATCAAAAATACTAACCACCACAATCAATATACTTTTTGGTTTGAATTTATAATCTTTCATACGTTGCATATTATTGACAATGTATAAACGTTACCCAAATTTAAACTTGTTTGAGAACACTTAAAATGTATTAAAATAAAATGTAAAATGTTCGTTGTATATTCCTGAAAATTTCGAAGTGACGTTTAGTCTGTTTGCTCGTTTCGATATATTGATGCGCTAGGATCCTGGCTGTGGTTCAGGTGCTGTTAACGGTTTTGCAACTCTAACCCGTCTTGTTTCATAATTTTCAGTTCAATGAATGTTGAAGCGTGACCTGTAAGAAATTCCAATTTCTTTATTTTTTTTTTTCGCAGTATAGAGCTTTTATACATTCTTTGCTTAAATTACGGTTTTCATTATTAAGGTCACTTTTCAAAATGGACATTCGAGAGATTAATCTGTCTTGTATTCTCTGTTTTCGTGTGGCTGGTATTGATTTCACTGTACAGATTTTAGTTTTTTTTTTCTGAGACTTTTTAATTCAGCACAATTTTTGAAAATAATGTATTTGTATTATTTGGCAATTCCATCAAGTTACTATTGAAACATCTCTGCAGTTCATGAAGGCCCAGGCCATGGCTATTTTCGTATCTAATTATAATTATAAAATATACAGTAATAATTTTTAACACTACGTTTTTGACTTCCCGAGTGTAAACTACGGAACTATTGTAATCGAGTCCATCGGACGACGGTCGACTTTTATGCTTTATCGACGTTTCGTGGCCCCTAGAGTACGAAAACATAGGTCTGTCATTTCCGTCTGTTTGTCTGTCTGCCTGCCGTCTGCCGTCTGTTCTCGTTTGTATAGAATTTTATTAGACAGATAATCTTCTAAGCTACCAACCTATTTTTGTAAATTTTGTATGTATGTTAAGAATGTGGTTGGTGTATATGGTATAACGCTTACCAAACTTTGTTCAATTATCTTCAGCAACAATAATATGACGTCATCCCCAAAATTTACTTTAGTAAATGTTATTTATATTTTATAATACAACATATTATTCCACTTGTAGTTTATGAATCCGTGTTGAGGTATTACTCTAGGCATTCAGATTTTTGTAAAAAATCAAAATTGTATAACATTTAACAATCGTTAATCAAAATTTACGATCCCCCTAGTAACTGATGACGTCATCTCAAAATATTGCCAAATAAACTTATCTAAAATTATGCAATTTATGATGAGACTGTAGTTGTGATTTATCATTCCGTTAATATTTTTTAGAATTGCTTAGATAGCGTGACTTAAAAAAATTAATGAATGAGCCAAATTATTTTTTGATTAAGTTCTTCTTGCTACAATTCTTCTATTTACTTATTTGTTGTTTCTATTGTTGTTTCTTCTTTATTCCTCCGTATATAATTTTTAATATTTTCTTCTCCCATAATCCTAACAATTTATTTCCTGATCAGATGCCTGTAATGGATAAGTGGCGTCATCTGCAATTTTTCTTTATATTTCGATCTTATCTGTGTAAGTTATTAGATGACTCAAAAAGGTTAATGGATGAGTCAATTTATTTTATTGATCAAATCAGAAATTGCTTTACTGAATGCTT